TAGGCACTTTGTCAAAAATCAGTTGACTGTATATGGATGGATTAATTTCTGGATTCTAGATTCTGTTCCATTGATCAATGTGTCTTTCATTGTACTAGTACCAGGCTGTTTTGACCACTGTAGCCATGTAGTAAAATTTGAAATCAGGGAGTGTAATGCTTCCAAACTTGTTCTTCTTCTTAAGCAGTGCTTTGCTTATCCTGGGTCTCTTTCCTTTCCATATAAAGTTTGTAATTGTTTTTTCCATCTCCTTGTCGTTGGAATCTGGATTGGGATTGCATTACATATGTAAATTTCTTTGGGTAGTATTGACATTTTCACGATATTGAGTCTTTCTATCCAGGAACATGGTATGTTCTTCCACTTTTGTAACTCTCTTTTGGTTTCTTGTAGTAGTGTTTTTAATTGTCTTTGTATAGGTCCTTTGTTTCTTGGGTTACATTTATTTCTAAACATTTCATCCTTTGGGTGGCTATTGTAAATGGTATTGCTTTCCTAATGTCCTTTTCAGCACTGTCATTGTTACTATAGAGGAACCCAGCTGATTTTTGTATGTTGATCTTATATCCTGCCATTTTGCTGAATCTTCCAATGAGGTCTAGTAGATTTTTTACTGAGTCTTTGGGGTTTTCTATGTATAGGATCATATCATCTGCAAATAGAGAGAGTTTTATTTCTTCTTTGCCAATTTGGATGCCTTTAATTTCCTTATGTTGTTGTATGGCTCTTGCTAAGACTTCCAAAACAATATTGAATAGGAGTGGTGACAAAGGGCATCCTTGTGTGGTTCCCGTTTGCAGAGGGAAGACTTTCAGTTTCTCTCCATTGAGATTGATGTAGGCTGTTGGTTTTTGTATATATGCTTTTGATTATGTTGAGGAATTTCCCTTCAATTCCTACTTTGTTGAGTGTTTTTCTCAGGAATGGATGTTGGATTTTGTCAAATGCCTTTTCTTCATCAATCATTATGATCATGTGGTTCTTTTCCTTTTTCTTATTTATGTGGTGGTTTACATTCATTGTTTTTCTAATGTTGAACCATCCTTGCATCCCTTTTATGAAACCCACTTGGTCATGATGTATT